ATAGAGCAAGAAATTCACCAACTCCAGGCATCAGAAAGGTAAAAAAACACCATGAACAAAACCAAACCAAAACTTCAAACCCTCCCAACCTAACCAGAACCAGCATACGAGCTGAAAAAGCATTCCCTATCCAACACCAAGACCTTACATCAAGTGAAACCCCCTAAAGCCTGGGTCTGACATCTGCTCAGCCTTCTCTGATGAAAAGCTTCCTCCAACTGCTGGTTAAGTAGCAGTCGGCCTTGGAGCTTAAGTAGTAACAGTTACTGCACCAAATGGGATCCCCAGTTCAAATTCCAGCCATGAAGCAGCTAACTACAAATGCTTAATCTTTAATTTTTGCCACTAAATGCACAAGAGAAAGTTCATATCCAAATTAACTTTGGAAACAATAAAATGTCAAACTAGAGTTAGGAGTGGTGGGATGGAAGCCGTATCTACAAGCTCAATGCATAACAGTGCAGACCTTAGGCAAGGGTGATGATGGTGCCCCCCCTACTTTTGTGATCACATACCACTTTCACCCCCAGGCTGCACGTATGCAGGGACACAATAACCGTGTGCTGCCCAATCCATCAGAAATCTGGCATTTTTAAAGCGTTCTACTTTTGTGACCTGGATCATCTCTCACTGGTGTCCTTTCAGCTACAATAAGAAATCATGCTGAGAAACTTCACCCCAAGAATGGAGGCTTATTGAGTACATCATAAGCTAATTCTTCCTCAGCAGGGAGACATGGAATAGACAATCCACCAATCCCTTCTGAGCTGCAATGACTGATCATGCTGATACTAGAAGTGACCCTCTGCTATTGCCAAAATCAAGCAATTCCTCCAGTCCCTGAACTGTGCTGATTCACTATAGCAGTTACGGATTTTTGTTTGCATGCCTGCATTTTATCACATACATCTGTGGGTGCTGACAGAGCTAAGGTAGGTTTTACTTTCCCTTAATCCCTAAAGCAAAAAGATTGCCCTAAGGAAACCTAAGCAACTTGTTCTAATTGAGGGCACTGCGTGGACTAAAATATAACAGACCAGACCAACCTAATAAAAATGGGTAGGATGGGGAAAAAAGATCTGCTGGCCAAATCCCAGCAGCAGCATAGCAACAGAGGCTGTTTCTGCACCCTGTCCGTGGGATGCCAAAGAGTTCTCACCACCTCTCTGACAGCATCCCACTTTGATGGTGCACATGAGCAAAGATCTACCCCTGAAAAGTAACAAACGCCCTCTTCTTCTCTCTTTACTCACCATACAGTCATGCTTAGAATAAGTCTTCAAACCCCTCAAGGACAGAGGATTACTATACTCAGTTGATAAGGACAGTCAAAGGCAACTTTTTGGCTAAGCACCCTTGTATGAACTAACCATTCTGCTTTGTGCTCCCCTAGTAGGAAAGGGGTCTCCCTATTTCACTGATGACTGCATCTCTTGGAACTTCTGCCATTAGTCTGCAAACAACCCTTGCAAACACCACTTTTTCAATCCATGGCACGCAGTTTGTTGTAACTCAGTAAACCTACTGCTTCAAATACTTGTAAATGTTTGCAACAGTCAAATCAAATGCTTTCAAAAGCACAAAGCAAAATCCCCTATCTAAACATCCCCAGCTCTTAGAAGGAAACAGCATTGGGTCCTGATGTTTAGACAAGCATACATCTCTCACAGGCAAAGCCTATAAACGTAAGGTCTGAACCCCCTTCTCTCTCCTACCTACCCCTTCAGACACTTAGGAAATGCATATTAATGCCATAGCTTTTTGTTCCTTCTCCTGTTGTTCTTCTTCTGGTTTTACTTCTGTAAGAAATACAAGTTTCTGATACTGTGAAATGCTTCAGATAATGAGAACAAAACCAGCCTACTTTGAAAGGCAACTGCTTTCCAGTTGCCTTCACCCAAACACCAGAAACTTAGCTCTGGTTCTGCATTTCCCATTATGCGTGTGCTATAGTGAGGACATTCAAATGAGGTTTGTCAAGAAAACAGAAGTGCTTACATTCAGTCTCTTCCTCTGTTCATCAGGGAACCTTAGATCCTCCACAGTGCCCAAGGGATTCCCACTTTCCCTGAACCCACACAATTCAGAAAGAAAAGGTGCAAGCTTGCTGAATTTCTCCCCCCTCTGCTGCTTCTGGGTGAATTTGTTTGGTTTAGTTAAGACTTGAAGCCCCCCTCACAAAGAAGCACACAAATGTCTTCCTCTTTTATCTGGGTTTTTCTTCCATAACCAGCCTCCCAGTACAGAGCGATTCTGGCCATTTCTTAGACAAGTGCCTGGGTTTATTTTTGCAGTAACAAATCAAACAGGAACACAACACCTTTTCCAACGGAGCAGTACACAGAGCAGCCTGTACCGAACTGTATTTCAGGTCCTTGAGAGAGAAATATCACATTTAAGAGGCACAGACTGCTGTTTCACAGTCACCTCCTTTTTAAAAGGAGGAGCTGCAATGCAAACTTAAGCAGGTCACAGCTACAATAACACCAGATGGAAAGAGACAATGGAAGTGTCCTGTGAACAGGGTGAATGAGGTCTTTCTTCACATTGCCACTACCCAGAGCAGGATGTTCAGTCCAGTATCATTCTCAAACAACTTCTGACTAAACTTGAGGATGAGAAAGATGATAATGTCACTAATACTATGCTAGAAGGTCTCTTACCTAGTGACAAGCTGGCATTAGGCTGCAGCAGAAATCCATTCAAATAAGAACAACCCTATCAGTGAACAAACAAAAGGCTGGAAGGCAAACGTGACATTTCTCCCCTTATAATTACCTACACGTATCAGAAATGCTTACACCAGAAACAGGTGGTAAGGGAAGTAACTCTGAGACCAGGAACATCTCCTTGTTGTCTAAATTAGTCTCATCAGAAGGTGTTGACTGGTTTTGCCACATAATAGTTGATGAATCAGGCAGGAGCTCATTTTGTTCGGCCATAATATTTCAGATTTCCTGAAAGAGGTAAAGGCTTACACAGTTACACTGTCAATCAGGTCATACTCCTCCTCACCACCCTTTTAAAGTCATTGGGCAATTTTAACTCCAGCTTATGAAGCAAGGAGCCTCAATACTGCTTAGTTCTTTAACATCCTGCAAGAACAGGGCCAGACTGGAGAGTGACCTTTATCAGTGCCTCAAGCAAACTACAAAGCCTGAAACATTTCAACCCTGTCAGACACGAGGGACTCCACAAAACCCTCAAGATCCACAGGAAACCAAGCTCCACCAGACTTTTATTTTTTAATTTACTATTGCTTTGCTAAAGAACTGAAGAGAGGCCCAAGGAAGAAACACCACAGACTACTTATGGCTTTGGCAGAATGGTACTGCAATGCCACAGGTCAGGTTTCTCCTCTAAAATAAGGCTCATTAAACAGCTAGGCTTTTCCCCAGCCACCTCGTCCTTGTACCTGGCAAGGTATAAGGCTGTCCCCTGAACTGCAGCTTCATCAGTTAACCCACTGATGATCTGCTGACATTATTTCCTCCAGCTCAGGCAGAAATCTGGTGAGACAAGCTTGCCCTGTACAAATAAGCCTCTCTCAGGTAACCATAGCCACCCCTGAGCAAAGTGTTATGCTAACTGTTTCTAACAGAGCCACGAGATAGGTATGCCGTTTCAGAAGTTCTTCTGAACATCCATGGAAAGAGTAAGTAAAACACTTTTTCAATCCATAAACACACCATCCTGTCTTTTCATCTTCTCAAAGCTGTGTTTTGCTGAAATGGCTGTCAGCAGCTTTAATGAAGTATCTCAGTCCAAACCTGAAGTACTTCAGTTACTTCAAAACCAAAGCACACCTACACTGCAACTACAGGATGAGATCATAGCACAGGAAATGTAAACTCTAATGCAGGTAATGTCAGGCTAAAGTTATAGCATCCCTGCTAGCCCAAGCTGCAGCCTAAAGCACAAGTTCTGAGGTCTCCATAAACACACAGTGGAGTCTGCTGTGCACTGTAATTTCCTTTCTACCATCTCTGCCTCTGACAGCATAGGCTCACCATCACACGCCAGGCACAAGTTCACTGCAGCAGCACTTTTTGTTGTGCCAGCTATGCCTTGTTTAGGAATGCCAGGCTACTGCAGTAACACAAAATAACGTTTAATGTCAAATAGCAATGTCTTCTCTGCTGCTAGCTGTACTGTAACCAGTCGTCTTGCTCCCTACAGATAAGTTATCTGCATTCACACACAAAGCGTCTCAAGGAGGAGCAGTCAAAATTTATGAGGCTAAACTCTCCCACGGAGCCAGCAAGGTGATACAGAACAGCATGTGGGCTAAAGTGCAATCCAAAGTCTACTGGCTTAAAGCTGCAGTGCACTTGCTTAAGTCCCATAGACTTTTAGTGAACTCACCTCAATAGTGTCTTTCAAATCATAGGCTTTCAGGAAAGTAATCTTTAACATCTCACTACCACTCTATCAAAACAAAGAGGTCTTAATAGTAAGTTAGAAAAAGCCCCTCAGGTTCCATTACACCAATATGATCCTCTCACCCCAGTTCTTCAGCTACAGCTTGTGAAGTTGACCAGCTGCTACCAGAAGGCCTCTCCTGAACATCTGCGCACAAAGAAAAAGGATCACAGAATTCCAGATACACAAATACCCAATTCCTCAATTCCCAATTTATCTTCAAGCAAAAACTTCACATTTTTGCAGAAGTTATGTTTGGCACCCAGAATTCCACTAAATGAGCCACTTCCTGGATTTATTTCCTCTTTAACAGGAGCAAATTGAAGGCATTCATGTGTATATGGTATATACATATATATATATGTATGACTGGTATATGCCCGAAGCTGTACTTAGCACCTCCCAAAATCAACAGTACACTTTTGCCACCTATTCAGGGAGAGATGCTCATCAACAGCTTGTCACTGTGCTGTAGAAATGCAGTGATGTATTCAACAAGGCAGGGAGTGGAAGACAGGTTACATCATTCAACTGACAAGACTCCATGAAAGTTACTCAAAAAGAATGGCAAATACCAATTCAGGACAAAACATACTTTATTGTACTGTAATGTCAGAAGTACAAGAAAAGTACTGCAGAGAACCATGCTAATGAGGCTTTAAAGGTCTGTGAAGGACAGAAGTACAAGATAACGGGGTACTACTGTACTCAGTGCAAAAACTGATTCATTTGAGGCACAAGTACACGATCGTTTAAGCAGCTTGATTCAAGCACAGCTCTGGTATGATCTACTCTGTTCTCTTTCTATGTGACAATTCTATAAGAAAGCTACTTTTACATGAAATAGGCAGTAGGTACAAGTCAGGGGTGTCCAAATTGCCACTTGGTGACAAAAAACAGTAAAAGAAAAATACTCTGCATAGTCACCCTCCACATTTTAACTTCAGATATGGAGCTGTGGCTAGTGAAGAAAAATACTCTGAAAGGTCAGAGCCCAGATCTGTTTGGCTGAGTGGAGGGTTTTTGCCCCTCTTCTAAGCCTGTGGGTAACTTTTTTCCTGTTGACCTCAGTTTATCCAATGAGAAGAAAAAAAATAAAAGTATCTCTGATAAGGAATCATACATACCTAACATTCAAATAAATTTCAGCCCTTGACATCTTAACTTATGACTTAAGACAGAACAAAAGTGTTTGGGCACCCTTGAGTCAAGTTAATGAAGAGCGTTTTTGCTAAAAAGGCAAGCAAGTTCACGTTTTCAAACAGAGCTGACCTCTACAATAAGAAAGCAGGAATCCAAGTCACTAGTTACTACTAGGCTGACATGTACTGCTGCCCAGAAAGATAAAAAAGGAACATCACCATGAAAAAGGTTCAACAAAGTTGAAAGATAAAGGTTTCAACACCAGAAGCAGCATTTGAACACAAGCTGTTTAAGTTAATCTTTTCAAGAGATGCAGATTGCATAACTCTGGGCATGAACAAACATGCTGGCAATCTTTTCCTTTTACACAGCAGCTGTGTTTAACATAGGAAGTTCTGGGTTTAAAGAAAGCTACTTGAAGAATTAAAGATTTGCGACTCCCTGTCTACTTATTGAGTTTAGTAGAGCAATGAAAAAAAATCACTACTGAAACAGTAGTTTCTCAGTGGATTCCTATCATTACAAACACAGCTTGAATCGTAAGCAACGCAAGACTAAACAGACAACTATTATATTATTACTATGCTTATAAGTTACATCAGTTAAAGTTTAAAAAAAAGCCAAGCAGTTTTGCCCTATTTCAAGAGTATTTTCCAATCAACACCAGTTTACTTGGTGAATGGGACTTCACAAATAAACAAGGAATGGTGATATCTTTGGGTCGAGAACGACAAGAAATAATGGGCTCTGTGCTACCAATCAACCTCAACAAGAATATGGCACAAGGGCCAGCCCAAGCTGTACCAACACTGAACCATTAGCACTCAGCACAAATTCGGATCTCTTCACTTTAGCTAGCAGATCAGGTGAAAAACTGGGTAAAAAAAAACCCAAACAAACCCAAAATAAACCAAAACCACTAACTAAAAACTTAACTCCAAAATTGGAATATAGTTTTTAAAAAAATCTGTAGTTTTAAAATAACTTTATGCTGACATCAGTTTGTGCAAACTAAAAGAAACCTCATCGCATTTCTCTCCAACAAAAGACAACCCCCCCAAATATTTTCATTTTAGCCCGCTGTATCTGTAGATACAATATCAAATCTAACAGATGTAAATGCAAGAGAGAAAAATTTACAGCATCTGCACAACATTCTTTCTACAAAGAGCTGCTGGAGGGAAAGTAAAATATAAAAGGAATAAAGAAAGGAAGGTTCCATCTGAAATACTCTCACAATCTTTCCCACTCTGTAGTCCATGAATCCGACTCTGATGCTAAGGTGACAGTGTATGTAAGCAGATTTTTTTGATGAATTTATTATTTTTGAGTTTCAATTGAAGAGAACCTGAGAAGAGACTCAAGTCTCTTCAGGAATTGTCAGATGGAACATGCTCCTCAAATCCTTCGCTCTCTCGGACCAACGCTCTTTCCAGGATAACACGGCCTTCCTTGTAGCGCTGGCTGTCTTCGGTGGCAAATTCATAGATCCAACCCAGTTTGCTGTTGCAGTTCTTGCAGCTCACGTCTCGAACCATGTGGCGGCCAGTGAGCATGACCCGATCCTGAACTTCACTGTATTGCAGATTTACCACCTGATACAAATATACAGGGACACGGAATAGAGAGGATTAGTCTGCCCAGAGCAAAGCTTAGTAACAATGTCCATGACTATCAACATTTTAGACGTAAAGAGCCTCTGACACTGCACATGAACCGAAAACTGCAGTGTAGTAACTCAACAGCCCTTGAAAATCTGCTTGTGAAGGCAACAATTTAAAGATTCACTTCACAGGGACATATAACTCACTGTTTAACCGAGACATGAAATGCCATCACAAGTACTAGAGTGCAGAGTACCTTGTTCAACTAATTGCTATTAATCCACTTGTAATATATGTAACCCATATCTAGCAACTGGTGTGATCACTTATTCCCAGAAGTCAGAACCAAAACATTAAGAGGTACTTCTTTAAAAGTCTTCAGCTGCATTTGAAATAACCATGTAAGAAAAAGCAGGCTGAGAAAAAGTGGCTGAGAATGTATGCATTAAACATGCACCTATTCTTCTGTGTGCTGTCTTGGCAGTTTAAAACATTCTCTTAACTGGTTACACAGCAACATCACAGAACCAGGATGCACAATTCACTGAAAAGTTAACGTCAGAACTGCATCCAAACCGCTGATACGCGTTAGGATTCTGAAAGATGGGGCTGTGCTGCTTTCTCAGCCTGCCATCTGACTGTACTCATTCTCTCTGCTTCAGATGTAAGGTATTTGTGTGCAGAAATGTAAAAAAACCAGACCTCTGTGATTAAACCCCACTATTTACCACAAGAAAAAGTCAAACCCCAGAAACCAGTGAGCACTGGGTGAAAAAGAATACAGATACACAGTTCTCTTACAGCTATGCAGCCCAACAGTTAAGAGACAAATACTACTGAAAGGATCCAGCATACCAGAAATCCCAAAGCTAAGCACAGTTAAGTGAGGACATTACTGGTGCCTCTATCGAATCTGCCAATCACCAAATGGCTTTCAAGTAAACACTCAAACCAACACACCCCAATGATTACATGACCAGAAGCTTTGTGAGGAACCACAAGATGATCACTGTTTTTTCAGTGTGTCTAACACAGGGGTTAATAAATAATGCTACAATTCAGGTTTTTAGGCGTGTTATTAACATTATTCTCAGCTTAAAGCCAACACACAGCTTCTAGGAAGAAAATTTACTGTATCCCAGCCCAAATCAGGACACTTGCATATTTCAGTCTGTTGAATTAAATCAAATATGATCAATTAAAAAAAAACATTCAAGTAAACCGGAGTCTTATTGCCTGTAAAAGAGACTACGGTTACCTAAAGCTGACAAACTACTGCTAGCTTAAATGCATTTTAGAATTAAACAGAATACTACCTAGACTTTAACTGACTAAAAGTGAAAATGCCTTTGAAACACTTTGATAGACCAAAAGATATTCTCACAGTAAATCTGAGGTTCATGTTACAGAAGTCTCCAAAGTCAAAACTCCGTGTATTTTGCCATGATACCTCCATATACATGATCCTCTTTACAGTCTTTCAGTACTGTGGTTAAACTAATTTAGATAGCTTGCCATTGACAGTAAATGCCTGATTTGACTTCAAAGACTGCTGGACAGAACAAAATAAATATTAAAAAATTAAGATAATAATTATACAACATTATCCAAGAAGCTTTTTCGTTTTGATGACAGATTCATTTCCCACCAATTCATTTTTCAAAAGCAAACAGTAGCTCCTCCTCAGCTTCTTACCAACCTTGTTAAAAAGAAAGGCTCTTCCCGTGGCCCCTGTAAAACGAGTGGAGATGAGCTCAGAACGATTGGTCAGAATGGTGTCGCAGTTTGCACAGGAGAACAGGCGAGTGCCACCAATGTGATCCAGAAAAATCCTTCCCATTTTTAGAACTTACGTAAATTTATACTCAAAGACCTGAAAGCAAAAAGAAAGATCACATTCATCACCCATGGCAGATAAAAAACCATCCAACTGCAAACACCCGTACACATGGCAGAATATTCTGCAAACCAATTCAGGCAATGATTGCAGAGGTTCCTTCTTTCATAGATGAATTACTGAACTTACAGACTGCATCCAGCCTTTCTCATCAAGACAAGTTCTTTCCCAAAGTGGCCATCTTACCAGTAAGATGACACACCTAGATAGAAACCAATTATATTAAATGAGCAAACCACAAACCAAAACCTTTAAAGTATAGTTCAGACACTTGCAGACCACTTCTGGACCCTACAACTCTTAAACTCAAAAGCTTCCACTTCTTCCCTATTTTCTTTTCCTCTTTAATATAATACTGAAATTCCATTTCAATATATTCCCAACGACTCACTCATCTTAGTCAGCACTGGGAAATGAAGCACAGAGAAGTACACTGAGTCACCAAGGCAATTATGGTTTAATTTTCCCAAGTCACCCCCCCCCCTTTTAAAATATGTATTTATTTTGTCACTTCCCCTAAGCTTTGCAGAATTTCTGATATGCAACCACACAACATCACCATCCAAGATGCTTTAGTCTTCTATAGCAGGCTGGGCTACTGCATTTGACTTGACACTCAGTGATTTCATATACATAACAACATAGGAAAGGTTTGGATGCTATTTCACATAACAAACAACCCACCCAGTCTTTACACCAGACAATTTGTATATACAAACATTTAAAGCTTTCCAATCTAAATACAAAATATTGTATCATTTACCCAAGCTATTTCCAAAGCATCATCACTGAAATACCTCAGCAACTTTAGTCAGCAGGAAAAGAGAGTTTAGAAATCTATACCAGCAGACCAGCAGTATCTAATAAGCGAATCTCTTCACTGCTTAGGAAAATTAAAGTATCTCACCAACTTTATACCAGCTACATAGATTTCTCAGTTAAGTAGCGAGTAGGCATGAAACACATCAGACAGCTGAAAACTTAAATCACAAAGGATGAGATAACATAACAAAGGAATCCAATTATTATGTTATTTCCATTTCAACTGCTGAAATTTTATGACTAGGCATCTACAGTCAAACAAGTTAAATATACCTCCATTTATGCTTCAGATGTGGAATCAGAAAAGAGTATTGCCTCTGCTTTTGTCATGCATAGCAATGCAAAGTAAATCTGACAAGCTGCAATATTAAAATCGTGTGGGTTTTACTTTTCAGAGCAGGAGACAGTGTGCCATTCAGAGAGAAATTAATCAAATGTGGTGCTCGTCAAGTTGAATCTTCTGTGTCAAATGGTTTTAAGAGGCACAAATACCTAAATTAAACCCATTTCAAGTTTCAGGGGATCAGTTTCTTAAAGCTTACCCTGACATGCACAAAGCAAATGGACTAAAACATGTGCCTGCACACACAAAATTAAAAATACCATTTTTACATGTAAAAATCGTAAGCCACTGACAATTTTTTCCAATTGCTTTATTTCATCACTTTGTTTTCTTACAGTGTGCAGCAATAGAAAGGGTTCCTAGTACTGAAGAGTGATTCTAGCACAACTTCCTTACATTCAGATTTTTCGTATCTTTGTTAATCTTCTGTATCCCATCTGAAGGATACATAAAAATTCAAAGGAATGAAATGCCGCTTTCCTTTAAAAGTGATATGACACCCATTTTTCTTCTTGGGAGGATAAATAAAACAGGTCTTGAGTTTGACAAAAAAATCTCAAAGACTTAGCTGACTGTAAGGGTGCATCTCCTTGTGACTCCACACAAAATATGGAAGTGTGTTCCTTCAATTTCTCTAAGCTTTACACCTCTCTAATGTCTTTGTCTTTCCTAGCAAGCAAGGGGAAAAGAAAAAATAAGATGTGAACTGTGACAGCATGAAGGAAAATCAACAGACAATAAGTGTGAATAGATAGCATCAGTCAAAGTCTCCAACCAGAAGAAACCACAAAGACAAGCAATAAGGGCAACTGTGACAGATATGCCCATGAGGCACTTGGCCTAGCTCCATGTGCCATCCTTACTAATTTTGGATAATGCTATTTTTGTGTTGTGGATTAAAAACAATTAACTGATCCTACATTACTGAAAATGTGGAATCAACATCCAAAAGGATATTTCTTTCAGGGTAAACACAATGCACACCCCTTCAGTATTTCTAGAAGCCAATATAAAACAAATCCAAACACATCCTGCTTTTTCACCAAGAGTAACACAAACACTAAGCTTGGTAAGTGATGAGAACAGATCCATTAGACAGACCAACCTTGCAAAGCATGCCACTCTGAAAAATATGCATCTGAACACTTAAAACGCAAACACACGTTCCATCTAAAATCAGAATTCATGTTACTGCACCTGGAAAACCAGTAACCCAGAGCCACTGAAACCAAAATGTAACTACTTCAGAAGAGAGTGCCAGTGTAATTGTTACAATCAAGTTAGAAGTCAAAGCATCCTAGAAATGTATTACTTCTGGATATGGCATTATGCATGGACTGAACTGCTGAGTCCTGAAGATGCTAAACATTAAAATAAATGCATAAATAAATACAGTCAAAGAATTTATGCTGAAAAACCTACTTAGTAATAGAAGGCCTACATTCTTCAATTATTTATATCTCACCAAAAAGCTGAAAGTAACCTCACCAAGCACCTAAATGAGAAAAAACTTCCAGTAAGACTTGGGTTCCAACAGAAAGACAAAGCGAGATTCATCTGACTTTGAGAATTCAGATTAAAGTTACAGCAGAATCTAACAAATCAACTGGTACCCTAACAATGTTCTTCAAAACACAGCACATAAGAAAACAATGTATTATTTAAATAAATACACATTTAAAAATTTGGAAAATTAAATCCTGCAATATGCACTACAACAGTCAAAATAGTTCAGATTTTGAGTTGGGGTTCTGTTTTTAAGAAAATGCTAAAATACTGTAATCCTATTAGAGTACCCAACTTTAAAAAACAACCTCTGCACTCAACTGGTCCCTGGCAGATTTTGGTCAAAGCAGACAGCAGCCTACAACTATCATTAGCTCTTGGTTTTGATGGTTACCGGATACCAATGAACCCTTACAGGTCCAGCTGAAATGTATACACCTTAGTCATTTGCTCACAGTAGTAAAAAGCAGGAAAACAAAGTTACAAACTGACTGCTAGTGTGGCAGTCTCTGAATACTGCATTTTATCATGGATTTTCTAAATGACAAGAGCTTTTGCTTTTTCTTAGCATATACGGTAGAGATGTTAACTTCAACTTGGAATCACTTCATACTCTTCCCTCCCCCCTCTTTTTCTTCCCCAGGCTAAAACCATAGTATTCACTTATAAGACCAACTCAGAATGTACTTGGTAGAGGTGAAGACTATTCTCTCCTAACGATCTTGAATCCTGTAGGGTAGAACTCACCATATAAAAAGCACTACAGAACAAGTGAAAGCAATTTTCCATTGCTCTCAGACTCATATCCTTTGCATACAGAAGAGATGTGTACAAAGTCACCCAAGAAAACTGTGTAATTTTTTTTCCCTATAGTTTTCACTTCCCATGTAAAAGGTGTGGGCGTCTATTTATGTTCACACATACATAAATGATCTGAAAAAAGCCACTTATAGGCAGCTTTTATAGGCAGTGGGAAGGCTCTTAAATGAAGACAAGCAGAAGAACTGCAAAACAGTAAAGCGTTTCCACAGCTTAAGATCCTCCAGTTAGGGGGAGGAAAATGCAAGAAGCACACTCAGCCCTTCATCCACTCTTTCTACACTTAAAACCAGTGAAAATAACTGCCACTGGTTCTGAGCTCCAGTCAGGTTCCCTATGGCTAGTTACAACCCCAGAAAGTGACACTACTATATCACATGAATTCCATCATGTTCCTAACAGAACTTTCAGCGGTCAGGAATCTTGGTTATTCACAAAACCATATACTGAGGAAAGCACAGAGATTGGTTTGGGGCTTTTTGGCCTGTGATTTCACCTTTTAAGTCAGCTAAACATTTTTCGCTGGGTATGTGTCAGTGATGAAGTCCTAGTGATCCTGCCCTCACATGAACTACCAAAGATAAGTCATAATGTTAAATTAATGGCTCCAATTCTTCTACACTGGAGATGTAAGGCAGAAGTAAGGCAGGCTTACTTACACTAATGGGATATAAAGTATCTACCACCTGTCAAATCTACGCACTTCAAAGAAACAGGTACTTTTAGGAATGGAGAGATGATGCCCAGTGTGCCATTAGTAGGTGCCTGCATTCTTGAGAGTATCCTTAGCTGAACAATCAATGGTAGCTCGTATTACCCAGCTAGTAAGGCTTGCTGACAGGGCAGTATTCTGACAGCACAAACCTTACCACCACTTCCTAGTCATCCTGTGAAACATTTCCTGCCTGCATGCTTCTCCCAGTGAGTGCATGGACAGACAGGAAACACAAGCACCATGGTTGTGTACTGTTATACATATTCCTACAGCAGCATGCTCCCAAGCTTCCACCTGTTTTTCAGCATTGATTTTGGCAACACTGAGCAACAGCTGTCAAAGAGCTCGCTCACATTCAACAGCTTTAATTTGTCCACTATCTGCGTACAGAGCTGGAACCACCTGAAGCACTACTTGATTGGTATTTGAATTACCTAACCTGCCTACCTTCACAAGCAATAAAGAACAAAAAAGCAACACAAAGAATTATTTATTAACATTTTTAAAACTAACAGTCAGTGTTTTCTTGTCCCAGAAAGCATCTCTTGAAGACACAGGCCCATCAGTGTTTGGCAGAGCCAGGAGGCACTTTCCATGTACACACTGGACTGTGGATATTTCAGAAGCCTCAGTGTTGCTTCAGCACCATCTACTGCATCTCAGATCTACAACAGAAAACAGCTGCTAGTTAAGGGATAAAAAACTGTGACAGCCTCTCTTTCACCATTTCACTGCCTAAAGACATTTTCCTTTACATGGTGAGCCAACAAGCACTCTCAGTGCCTTGAATAAAGGCTGTGCATTCCCCTAGGTACGATAAAACATTCTCAAGGTGTACTTACTCTGGAACCAGGCTTAAACTTCATCTTCACATGTCAGGAACTGGGCTTGAGCTTCCTCTTCTCATCTTCATGTATGAAAGAGGAAAAAGAATACTTAGCACATCTATACAAGATCACACATTAAAGAATCACTGGGTAAGCAAAAAAACCCCAACCAACAAACTTGCTCCTTACCTGCATGGGTTTCCGCTGCTCACAATTGGGGGTGCATCTGAAAATACAGATGTGGTCAGTCTCTTAGGAGGTCTGAGATTCAACTATCTGCCACAGACTTCTGTGGCTGTCGAAGGAAGCAGGGCCCAGCCTCTGGCCTCTGCCTACATGCAGAATTTGTTATCAAAGCACCACGCGCAGCCAAATGCGAAGAAAAAGTGAACTGGAACATTATGCTATGCTCATTAGAACCAGCCAGCTACTGTAGCAAAGATGACTGAAGAGGCTTTGGCAAAGTAATGAAAGCTGTGTCCAGATGCAGTGCATGGCACCCGCACAGAACAGGCTGCCCAGCAGGAGGAAACTGCATTTGTGCAAGTTACAGTAGTGTAATTTTCTACTGCAACTCAGCTTTTTTTCTAGGTAAGTCAAAACCTTTAGCATTGGGATACTGGCATTTCAGTACATCAACATAACATAGCAGTGTACGCGAACACTTAACACAGGCTAGTTTGTTTGAAGTTTACAGTGAGCAGAGCCACACAGGTGGGTGCTTGTTTCTAATACAGCCCCCGTATCTCAGCATCTCCCACACAGTCACTTACACCCCACAATACTCTGGTTAGATAACATATAAAAGTATTAGCTTACAAATGGCATCAGACTTAGATTTTCTTTCCCACTACTACACAGAGTCCAAAAGCAATAGCTATTCCTGTCTCCCAATTTCTTTTTCTCTTCCATTTTCCCCTTCTCTCCCTGCCTCCCCTTTCCCTTCCCTAAGGGAGGAGAAGGTGATCCTCTCAAATCCTCAACTGTTTGTAAGAAAGCTGCGTTTCCTGGTTTTGCAATATATTTATTCTTACACTAATTAACAAGACAACTTTTGCCTATTCATTCATTCTTCAACTTGCAGAAAGCTAAATTCAGATTTTCTCTTTTCATTAACTTTACTGCTGTAGTGATACGAATCTTCACCCAAAGACACCACTGATTCCATGAGTCACACACAAAATTTAAAGAACCAGTGAAAAGACAATGACCATTGAAACTCCCACACAAACCACATCCAACTGCCAGAATATGCTAAGTGCACCTCACCAAGAAATTTTTATATGAACTAGGAAACTCCTAAATGTAGCTCAAGGCTCCAATAGTGAAGAGACTTGCTACCAAACATCCACAGCGTACAGGCATTTCCTCTACACATGTAACAAGTTATTTTTAAGTTAAATCTTGCTTAAGGGAATTACATATTGCTGCAAGAGCTGAGCAACTCAAGATTTCAACATAGGTCAAATGATAGTAAACAAATATGAACCAGACCCATCTTGGACAACACCGCTTCAAGCCTGTGATGACTACCAGAAGAGGGAATGCTAAATATATATATAATAGATATATATTTGTGTGCATGTGTACAACTCACTGTCAGATGACAAGTTACAAATCTCACCTACTCTTGTCATCTTCCCTACCCAGCTTTGAGAGGCACGCTTGGCAGCAACATCTGAAACTCACTCATCATTAAAATCTCCGTATAAACAATTAGATCTGAATTCTATAAGCTAAGGGCCTCCACAGCTGTGGAAGTGAAAGTACCAGATGACAGAAGCCTCTAAACAACATCTCTAAAGTCTAGTATTAGAAAAAGGGTAACACTTGAAAATGGACAGTTTCGTTTGCCATAAACATTACTTCAGTACAGCTGTCCAGAATGAGTCTATATATAAAAGGATTACATATAGCTGTTACATAGTTTTATATATAGCTGAACCAGCCACATGAGGGAATCTTTACCACCACCAAGTAAGCTCCCTCCCTTTCTGCCATCAGTCACAACCATTGTTAACCAATGGCTGATCAATTGCCATTAGCTGTTGACAACAAGAAGTCCTCTAGGACAATTACCAATCTGAGAAAAGCCATGCCCTGTGTTTCTCCCTCGTGAGACTTGGGTACTTGCTTTGTTATTCCTTCAACCTAACCCTAACGCCATGTTTATTTAAAGAAAGAGAATTTATTAACTTCCAGCACTATATTATCCAAAACACAGCTTTTATTCTTAAATAAGCATGCTGGAGCCATCTAATGTGTACCTGCTTGCACAGTACAGCTGAGATGTGTACACAGCGCAACAGATCAACAGACAGATAACAGTTTCTGCATTCCTTTTCGGCTTTGACCAGAACCTCTTCCAGCGCTAAAATGCACTGTCACAATCACAGAGTCAGCTGGGTTGGAAAAGCCTTAAGTTCATCCAGTCCAACCACTCCCCAGCACTGCCAAGGCCACCACTAACCCATGTCACTGAGGGCCCCATCTGCACGGTGGGTGAACACTTCCAGGGACGGTTACTCCACCACTGCCCTGGGCAGCCTGTTCCAGTGCCTCAGTTCCCTGGGAATCCACACTTTCTCAGTCAAAACCCGCCCGAAGAGCTGTCGGGCTCACTGCTGAAGAGCCGCGAGCACCTCCGTCAGCGAGTAACCACCACGGGGCTTCCGACAACAGCCTTCAGTGCGAGTCACCCCCGGGCAGGGACACGGGGTTACCGAGGGCTGCTGCGGCGGCGAGCCAGCCCCGACGGAGCAAAGCAGCACTCCATCACTTGAGAAGGCGCTCAAGCGGCCCTGCCACCCAACCTGTGGCACCGGGGCTGCCCCAAGGGCTGGCGGGGAGGGAACTGACCTACGCTCTGGGAGCGGCAGCGCCGGCCTTCGTAACGCTCCACGGCCAGGCCGGCAGAGGCGACGTGAACCCCGCACCCCGGGCTGGGACGACCCCCGCTCCACACAAAGCCCCGTGAGGTCTGGGGGGGGAGGCGGGTCCCGGCCGCGCGCCGTCACGGGGCCACGCGCAGCCAACCGCCGGCGGCTCTTTCGCCGGCGCCGCCGCCGGGCGCTGCGGGCAGCGCAGGCAACTTGACAACAAACAGGAGGAAACAGCTGACGGGAGGCCCCGCCGCCGCGGTGAGGGGCGCCCGGGCCCAGCCCCGCACCCCGGGGCTGCCCGCACTGCCGCTTCCCCCTGCCGTGCGGTGCGGGGAAAGGGGACGACGCGGCGGAAGGGCCTGAGCACGGTTCCTCCTCCCCGCACAGCAAAGTTGCCACCGCCCCTCCGGGGAAGGGAGCCGGCGGCGATGCGGGGCCGGCGGAGGAAGTTGTGGCCACGGCAGGGAAGGGGTGCTCGGTGCCGGCCCTCGGCTCAGGGCCGAGCAGGAAGGATCGGCGGCGCTGCGAGACGCTGCTGGCGGAGAAAGGGACGGGTGGGGAAGGGCCGGTGCTTTGTCGCGGCGCCGGGCCGCAGCGGGGCAGGCAGGGCCGGCACTGGCCCCGCTCCGCGCCGCCGAGCCGGAGCAGCTCCCCCAGGGCCCCGCCACGGCCCGCAGCGGCAGCCGCCACCTCCCGCCCCAGCCACCGGCGTCCCCCCCCCCCCCACGGCCTCCCTGGTGAGTGCGGGGCTCGGCACGGTCCTCCCGCCCGGTTACCTGGCGCAGGGGAGCGGCGGCGGCGGCAGCTCCGTGCCCGGTGTCTGCCCCCCACCCTCCACAGCCCCGACGCTCCGGCTCGGCGGCGTAGCCCCGCCCCCGCAGCACGTCAATCAGCGCCGCCGAGGCTCCGCCCCCTCGAGGCCCCGCCCCGCCGCACGTCAATCAGCGCCGCCGAGGCTCCGCCTCACGGCCCGCTCCGCCCCGGTCACCTCACGGCCGCGCCCGGTGGCGGCTGAGGGCTTTAGGCGGCCGTGGGGGCACTCAGCCGTTCACCGCCCCCCAGGTCCCCTCTCCCACCGCCCCGAGCCCGGTGCCCGCCGCTCCCTGTGGGGGTTTGAGGCACAGCGACGATTGCCAGCTGCATCCGCACCTCAGTAATCCTATGGCTGATGCTGCTGGCAGGGTTTCAGGCCGCTCAAGCTGAAATTCTTCTGACACACCTTAAATATTGCTCCTGAGGGAGATGAAAGATGAGGGAAGAAAGAGGGAAAGTGTCTGTGGCCCTTTCTGGCCATTGGTGGCAAGCGTTACCGAGTGCCTGCCAGTTTTAATGGCTCAATGCTCGTGCACAGATTGCATCCTCAGCAAACAAGTAGTGATCTTGGCAAAAATATGATGGAAAAAATCCTTTTGAGCATGACAAAGACATAACAAAGGAAGGTTTTTTCCTCTTACAGAGCAAGCCGTGCCATTTTAAGGATTTCTATTCTAATGATACCACATATCTAATAACACCCATGCTAAAGAAGGTATACTTTTTCCTGGGTCCATCCATGTGATATCAGAGGAGTGGCAGGGCTTTCCTATCATTCCACATCAAAGGCTGTTGCACATCTCTGGGCACATGCAGCAGGCAGCACATACTTACATGCCCAAGTGTTCTTCAGCTTCCTGCATGGATTTTTGACGAGCCTGCACAAGGTTAGACAGTCGGTGGTGGGTCAACACCGGTATGTTAAGAACTGCTGTTTGCTTCAGGCAGACCTCCACAGAATCGGATCTCTTCAGTTAGGCCAGCTCTGGCCTGATCCTGGACAACTGAGCACTCACCTTGCTCATTGACCTGTCATCAGTGCCTCTTTATATCATGCAAAGGGAGCAAAAGTGTCAGAGCAGTCTGTCAGACAGCAATCACCTCTTAGTTAATAGCATGGGGACAACAGAAGTAGTAAGAGTGTTAGAAGGAAGCCATAAAGACTGTGCCTGGAGTCCCATAACCACCTGCAAATAGAGGGAATAACTGGTCTAAGGTGCCCTGTTTGTTAACAGAAAGACCTGAACTGCTCTTGTACTGCTCTGTGAGCTTTGTGCCTGGTGGATCTGCACAGTCTCATCACAGGAGCTGTATGAAGGTCTGCATCTTAATCATCTTTGCAAAGCTTCTGTAGAGATCACTGTAAACAAAGCCAAAACAAGAGGAGAAAGAGAGGCAAAGCAATGGTGTTTTGGATGTCATCAGTGACTGGGTCTTATCAGGGACCTGTGAGCCCTCTGCTCAGATCTGCTGCTGATTCACATCCCTGGGTAAGTCAGTTCTTTTTGCCTTGTTTCTCATGTGTATAATGGGAAGAGCAGTACTACCTGCCTTTCTGTGTGGTTACATGTTTGATTTAGTACTGTTCTCCAGTATGGACATACGGAGGGGATGTATGTCTGAACATAATTGTCATAATAATATTACCATGAAAATATGGCAAAGCCCAAACCTCTGAATAGTATTAAATTCTCAGCAATAGGAAGAGTGGCTGTACCACTCAGAAAGAAACCAAATTGACCATGAGATAAGCAGAGAATGGATTAGCCTGTGCCTGACAGATGGTGCCAGGCACTGATGTTTTTATTTCCCTTGCAGAGGAGCTTAGATGAAGGGGGACAGGGGAAGGTGAACTAGGGCACATTTATTAGAATGAAGCAGCAGGCTGTAGCAGCTCTACTGAAAACCATTAAAAATACCAAAAGCAATTTCCAGTTGGTTTGTGAGAGACATGGTACTTATCAGCTACAGGGTGAGCAACGGGAACAGCAATATTGCACCATGTGGCACCTTTAATTTTCAAAGCAGCCTGAAAACATTAATTAATCCTCCTTTAACGCAGGGAAATGCAGTGCGGTCAGCAGTTTGTTCCTCTGCTTCTTGTGCCAGGATTTGGGAAGACCCTGGGCCTTTTCCACAGCTGATTCATATCACAATAGCTCAGATGACTCTGGAGCAGCTAGTCTTGTGTAGCACTGCCGCATAGAAAAGGCTGTGTTAGATTTTGAACTTAATGAACCAGAGAGAGGGGAGATGCCTGCACCCAACAGCCTTAGCAGGGTCCCCCTTCGGCATTTGTCCCATCTAAATCCATTGTGCAGCGTTGTAAGCAACGCTGTGGGAAGTGTTTCAGAGAAAATTAGGTTAGGAATTAACCACAATCTCAAAGAATTGTGCAGTGAAATTCAGACAGTGCATTGATCTAATTTAAACCTCTGACAAAACTTCAGTGGAAATCAGCAGGACCTGGGTACATTCCATTGAATGAGCATCAGGGCTTAGAGGCTGCTTGTGCAGAGCTTCTGTCTTGAAAGAGAAAATGCTGCAGCTTAGTGGGGTTTACTGCTACTCATCCTCCAGAGCCACTATTGGTTTTCCAGTACACTTGTGGATTCCTGTGTGGCAAAGTCGAGCCCACCAAATCAGGCATGCCTCAGGTGGGACAATGATTCAGCGGGATTTTCCATTGCTGCCTCCCATGCTCAGGATTTCTGGCAGCAGAGAGGAGTCAGCTGAAATGCAGAGCTAGATTTACAGGCTGTGATCTCTCTGAGAGGCAGTTTGACTCCTAGATGCCCCCTTTGTGCCTTCTCAGCTTTGCCTGACATCAAAGCCTGGGTTTATCCCACTAGCTGCTCTTGTTATTTGGCAGTGGCTACTAATAGCCTGTGTTTTTCAGTGGCCATGGTGCAGCTTGCAGCTTCATTCTTGTGAAGAAAGCCTACTCACACACAGAAAAATTTATTACCTTTCATTTCCCTCCCAAGCTGACACCTATTGCTTTTGGCTTACCTGAAAGCTGACATGGGTACAGGTGCCATTTACAGAGACCTTTTCAGTTGGCTGTGTTTTGCCAGGGGAAATTATTTATACAGTTAATGTCAACATTAGAAGATAAAGATCAGTGATGAGGAGGTCACTCCATGCCCTCTCTGTAACAACAGAGCTGCTTTCATTACCCTATCACCATACCTGGTAGCTGTTGGCCAGATTTAAAATGTGTTGAGGTGTAAAACCCCAAAGCACTGAGGAGCCATACCAAAGAAAGAACTTAATGTCCAAAGGGGGACTCAGAATTTACGTGCCACTATTAAGATGTCAGGAACAGGGACAGTAAGCAGGCCTGGTGCCAGGGAACTCACAACGCTCTCCTGCAGAAACAGTCATCATTGCCAACACCACAGCTCAGGGAGACCAGCAGAGGGACACAAATGGCCCCAAGGACTCACTGCTGTTCCCCAGCAAAGAAAGCAAGGGTGCCAAGTAGGATAGGTGGTGATATGAACATATCAAAGATGGAGCAGGGATCTTGCAGGCTTTTTGCATTGCTAGGCCTTCTTTTTTCTGGTCTTTCACACTGGAGGACAACTACTGACATGAGAGCTTCCAGGTTGTGGCCTCCTGCAAAGGGTCAGGATGATTATTCTTTCCGAAAATGGTCTGCCATAACTACCATATCCAGCCAAGGAACAGGGTCACTTCATCCCTCCTTCCCAGAAAGTGCTTAGAAACCTGACCCTGCTCAGAAAGATCATAGAGGATGAGAGAACAGGCTACCTGTGTGACAGCTGCATGCTTGTGCTTTCCTTTGCTGCTGTCTCCCACATCTTTGCACAGTGGCAGTGCTCTGCAAGATCATAGGATTTGTCAATCTTTTATTAGGGAGATTTTATCAGGTGTCCAACACGTGGGTGATGGCCATCTGATCATGCCACAGCCTTCACATAGAGTATTGGTCTGATGTACACCTGTGTGAGTAGAGAGAAGATGCAGTGGGGCAGTGCTTTGCTGACCCAGCTGAACAGGGCAAGCAGTGATCCAGCTGCCAACACCCCTGTGTTATACAGTAAATGATTTCAAGTGAGCTTTCATCCTTAGCTGAGGAGGTAAAGCTGGAGCCATTCCTTTGGCATTGGAAAACATCACAACAGCTGTCTACCAGGAGGAGATGAACATTTGTGGGGGGAGAGCAGCTACTCCAATGCATGTGAACCTCATCAAACAGTCTGGGCTGTCCCTATTGTTTGTGAGCACCAGATGAGAACAGACAGATTGGCCTAGAAAGGGCCTCACACAGAGACATTCAGAGGACGTAGAGAACAGAACACTTTAATGGCTGCACTGGATTGCCATTTTTTGATATAATCAAAGGAATCTACTAGCTTGGGAATATGAATATATACACACACCTGAGGCCCAGATGAATTCCCATAACCGTGGGTTTGGGTTAGGCTTATCAAAAGATGGAGCTGGTCCATTACAATTGTCACATCATAGGCAGGAGGGCAAGGAAGAAAGATACCTTTGTGGCATTATCAGCCTTTTTCATTCACTGTTTCTAGAGCTCTGGGTGTGGTTTCTCAGCTACAGTCAGCACAGCATTTCCTTGAAGGTCTTGAAGCTGATTCAATATTGCTATCAGTCTTCTACCAGTACCACTCCCTGCTCAGGAGGCACACTTCTGGGTGTGCAAAGTGAGCCTATTTAAAGGAAAAGGCCAGCCCTGCTCCAGACTTCTGTTTACTCTCTTTTGTTCATAGATACCTACCCAAAGATATTTATCAGAGATGCTAAATTCAGAGGGGGCAGAGAGCAACAGGCAAGCAAAGCCTGGGGGAAAAAAAAAAGTGGTCCACATAAAAAGGGGACACAGGACACACAAGGGAAGGGACGTGTAGCCCTAACCAATAAGTAGCTTCATCCATACCACTGAAATGGTGGGGGAGAGGCTTGTTTTGCAATATTCATGCCAACCTAATAATACTTGGTTGTAGTCAAACACTCCTGTGAAGGCTGGGAGGAGAGCTCAGCGGATGTGTGTCTGTGTTTAAAACCAGTCTCCAGGGTG